GGGGGGATACGTCACGAAACACCTTATAATAACTACAGGCCAAACTGTCTCTGACAAAAAAATAGTAAAAAAATGTCAGGTTGTGAGGTAAGCATCCAATTTCATTACAGAATATATCACTAGACGAACACATAAACACTAGTTGCAATACGAGAATCGATATGTTCAAGTAAGGTTATGTGTCTTTAAATTTTGTGTACATTAGTTTATCTGGTTTCACTTACTGATAAAACCTTCAAAGATGAAGTTAATTTCTACGAACATGAATGCAGTTTATTTACAGTACACTTCACATTATAACTTTTTTTTACTTTCGGTACTGATAACGTACGAAATGAACTACTTACCGGCTGTCTGTGAGTGAGAAAGTGATGCTCAGGTTGCATGGACAACCTGAAGATCCCAATGATTCTCCGATTTTTGTCGAGTTCACTAGTTTGACTGTCATTGTTTCTGTTCCATATACGACTACCTGATTGATAGAAACACACCATTACGGATCCAACCAAAAACCTAGCTTATAATATTTAAAGTCCTGATTAATCTAGGATAAGTTTTAATTCAAAACGTTGTTGAGATGTTAGTCCTTGCAGCACCAGAGAATTTTGCAGACCACTTTTCAAAAAAGGGAAGCTATAATAAGGAAATTTAAAGTGCCACCCAACAAGGGTTGATTTTGACACGGTAACGCATGAAATGCATATTCACACTATCTGACATCGGGCTTAATAGTGCTTAGTGGCAAAAATTGAAAGTGGAACGCCAGTAAAGCAAAAGGGTAATAAGAGGTAATGCTTCGTCCCAGTAAGCGGAACTCTTAACACATTTTAAAAGTTGAAAAAGCGATTAACAAATGAAAAATAATATAATAATATACAAAAGAGAGAAAATGAAAGCAGTCCAAATAATCCAATGGGTGAAGTAAAATTTAAGTCGTCTCGTCCTCAAGGAGAAGTTACCAAAGACGATTCCTGATTCTGCACAAATGAGGTTCATGCCAAAATATTTACATTCTGTATGCTTAGACCCATTGACAAAAATTACATTCATAAATGCATAACACAGGTTTTCATAGAATCTCAGCACGTGGAAACTGATAGTAACCTGATCACACTGCGAAGTAATACACTACAAAAACTACTCACTCGGAACGACCGACCTAGATGCTTAATTCTTACATCTTAAAATATTATTGAACTGTGCTTTGTGAAATATCCACGTATTTACGTGTCCTGTGCTACAAATAAACATTGAATATGGAACTACATTTTGTTGTGTTATTGTTGTTGACGGTTGCTAAGATCTCTCACGATAGTGTCACATTTCCCCGCGAAAAAACACTGTTCTCGCCACTGCGTTGCACCCGTGTATAAGCAGGAACAAACCCTGTTTATTTGTTTTATTCGTTGTTATATCGATCCACTGAAAGGATTCGTCAATGTAAATATAAGGAATGATATTTATTTTTTCAACATTTATGAGGTCATAACAACAATGGGTTTTTGGACATATTTTACATGAATCGCTAACGCGATTCATTCAATATGTCCATAAACCCATTGTTGTTATGACCTCATAAATGTTGAAAAAATAAAAATCATTCCTTAAATAATAACATTCTGTATGCTTAGACCCATTGACAAAAATTACATTCATAAATGCATAACACAGGTGTTCATAGAATCTCAGCACGTGGGAACTGATAGTAACCTGATCACACTGCGTAGTAATACACTACAAAAACTACTCACTCGGAACGACCGACCTAGATGCTTAATTCTTACATCTTAAAATATTATTGAACTGTGCTTTGTGAAATATCCACGTATTCACGTGTCCTGTGCTACAAATAAACATTGAATATGGAACTACATTTTGTTGTGTTATTGTTGTTGACGGTTGCTAAGATCTCTCACGATAGTGTCACATTTCCCCGCGAAAAAACACTGTTCTCGCCACTGCATTGCACCCGTGTATAAGCAGGAACAAACCCTGTTTATTTGTTTAATTCGTTGTTATATCGATCCACTGAAAGGATTCGTCAATGTAAATATGAGGAATGATATTTATTTTTTCAACATTTATGAGGTCATAACAACAATGGGTTTTTGGACATATTTTACATGAAACGCGATTCATTCAATATGTCCATAAACCCATTGTTGTTATGACCTCATAAATGTTGAAAAAATAAAAATCATTCCTTAAGGATATGGCCAAAAAATAACATTTTTCCTGAAAAGTAAACTAGATATCTATAAATATAAATAACCAATGTTGTAAAAAGTGATCAATAGTTATATCTTTTCAAAAATGTATAAATAATCATATTCAACAATAAGTGAGAAAACGTTTGTGAATGAATGGTTGCCCTCCGAAGATGAGGACACATAATGTTCTGCGCTGAACCAAGGGACATTTTTTGGTGTGCAGTCTCCGACTCTGTTATCTGGTCAGAAAACACAAAAAAATGATACATCACCAGCAGAAACCAGAATGGTAGGAAGAGGGACTCTGCTCTACTTAGTAATAGCAATATGATGTCATCGTATATATTTGAGGCGAAAAAAAGAGTGATTACATTGATAGGTTTTGAAAAAAAAACAATAGATGAAAATAGTTTAACTACATTAACAAACTTTTCATACATAATTTGGAAATACATACACTTGAGGTAGACATTTTCCACAATAAGTGTATGTCTAAAGGAGCTATTGCCTGTATGTCAAACTGTTGCTAAATGATAATAGTTCCTTTGCATATTTCAGGAGGCTTTTTTCAAAGATCGTATAATCGATACTGGCAACTTTGTTATACACCTACCCCTATCCAATCCCCATTCCTCATAATGACAAGGATAGGTCTCTGCCGTTGAGACGAGACTAAGACGATAAGACAAGACCGACCAATATCAGACCAGACCGTGTTTTATAGAAACCCACGTAACAAGTTGAATTGCAGATATAGAGACCAACGTACAGATCAATTTACACGATTAAATTTGATATGAACTACATGTAAGGCTGGTGTAGCTTTGCATTACGTTGTCGGGTACGCATATCTTTATGAATGTAATTTTACAGTAAACCTAGCACCCGGGGTTTATGAGATAAGCGTAATAAAAAATACACGGATAACCTGAAATACTAATAACACAGAAGATAAACATCACACATGTATGTGATAGATCAGCAACAACATCCATAATGATAAGAAGAGGGGCCTTGGTCTTGTCAGTTACTCGAAAATAATAAACTTATACAAAAAATGATGATATATCAATATCTAAGTTGATGGAAATTCAGGTGTGACGTGATACCATGACAGGGGTACCCGTGCCAATGAAATGATAACTGATCTTCTGACGTAATAATCACAACACCTCAATGTTTATAGCGACGTACACCACATATAGTTACGTGCACATGAGAAATGTCCCTACCTTGAAATACCGCCAATCTCCCCTCTAACATACATGAAGATTAGATTATTGACCTCCACAAAGATTTTCTCAATCCTTCTAACCCGAAATTCTTGTGTGTTTTTTTTTACACAGAAACGGAATTTATGTTTGGAATCCGGAACAAACCGGCGATCGACGATTATACTTCAAATCAGTTTGTGAGATAGATTATTATATATCATGAACATTCGGAACACCTCGCATATGCTACCTAGCAAGAAAATGACGAAAGGGTATTCCGAATGATATTATTTATACACTGCGCACACTGATATTGAAATAAATAACACTTGAAATGCATTTTCCTTTCAAATCATAGTTCATCAAATCAAGTAATGAAACCATCCAATTAATCCATTTTAATGATTAGACGTCGTAAACGAGCTGGCGCTATTGTATTCAATTGACAGATAACTACATACACATCTTTTTAGTTGTAATTTTCCTATTTGCCTAACGATCGTGCCTTTTTTTGTAAGTTTAATGTATTACAGTTCATTACAGTTCGCAACACTGACATTGCATTGCTTTATATTTAGTTTATCCTGATAGCAACAGGTGTTTTCATTCAAAGCCTCTCATGATATATATTTATATACATATGTGATAACAATCGTTAAGTTTGCTGTGCTGGACAACTACCGCTGTGTCACGATCTACTTTCTGTACTAGGCAACACAGAACCTATCAGATCACAAAGTGGCAGAATGTATAAAACATGCTAAGGGAAATGAGTCCCTAATTAATATTGCTGTTCGACTTCACATGAACCCTTTTTCTTCAAATTGCGTCATTGTAATAAAATGAAATGAAAAACTCCATGAATCACCTTTGATTGATCATGAAACATATTTAATTGATCTGAAACATATATAATTGATCTGAAACATATTTAATTGATCTGAAAGCATCACACATGGCAGTCTGTGTAATAAACAAAAGAAGAATACCCGATTATCAACAAAACAGTCACTGAGAGGTAGTCAAAGTAAAAAAAATGACAGAAGTACATACTATATTCCTCTACTGTCAAAACAAAGGGACAAGAAAGCACTGTCAATGTCTGCAGTGTTTAGCCGGATAAAAGCACATCCCTGCTCATTTTCTCTTTTAAATAGTTTTCTGTAGAGTCAGGGACATAACGTTAGCTTATTTCATAATGATAAAACTTAATATATCGTAATGGTACCAATGGAGTATTTTTGTCGAAAAATAAACATTGAATAAAAAATCACATTTCAAGAAAAAAATATAATGACATGTTAGAATATTAAATAATACCGAGAGTGATAACAAAACTCAAACTCAAAATCGATACCCTTTGGGAAATTTGAATAAATTATATTGACCATGTAGTCCCTTTATACCCGTCCTGAAAATCAAAGAAATGATGAAAGAGCGCACAGTCTTCAAATGGGGATATTGATAAAGAAATTTTGGCCTGATAAATCTTCTCCTTCATGAAGTCACAACTTTCCTTTACAATCCTACATTGTTTAGTTACTTAGATTGTTTACATACTTCAAGTCACCTTTTATGTTATTATAACAAATACTCTGAAAAATAACTGTGCTGACAAGTTCAGTAACTGTTTGAGGAGAAAACTATTTCTGTGTTCGACTGGAAAGGTAATGTATCTTAAGACATAAATACAAAGCGGTTACCATATATTTAACGAACAATTGTTTACGGAAATGAGAAGCTGACCCCGTACAGACAGATCTTTAACAGTACTCACCATTGACAACAGAAAAATGAGAACCACAGCCGCCGCCATTTCTGAAGCCGGAAGATTTGATTTAACAAGGGCTGATTATGTACTAAGAAATAGGATATTCTTAGATCATCGTACTTTCCTGTTTGAGGCCCTCGGTAAGGTTTTTGTTATGGAACATGTAAGCTCGAACGACATAGGTTCATATACTGTGTAAATGTTTTCATATTAACATCATGTTATTATTGATGAATGACGGGAAAAGGTTTAGATAAGTTCGAATTTATTTATGACATATATATGACAAAAATGTAGATATATATATACTATTTAAATTTTAAGTCTATTTCATTAGCATTTTATTGTTGGTAAATCATGTGAAGAGATTAAGACAATATACAGGTTATTTTGGCTTATCTCTTGGCAAATCATTTCACAACCAAACACATTCTAACAATATGAGACTGTTTCGCCACATACATCAATCGATTAGGACCAGATGTTCATGTATGCAACACATACCAAAATAAACAAATGAATTCGAAAATTGATCCTTTTAAAATGGAACAGGACACTCTTCTTAGCATGGACCTCTTCACATGATTTATAAACAGTGACAAGTTTATCTACAAGGGTTTATATTCAATGAGATTACAACGTATACTGTTGCTAACTTTTCTACTTAATATCTTTTTGCTACTTTTTAGGAATGTATGAATTAGCATTTGAGTATGGAATTTATCCATGTTTTATTATAACTGATCTCTGTACAAAATGCAATCAAGAAATAAGAGTGACAACACCTAACTGAGACGGTACAGAGAATGAGGCAATGCACTTGGCTAACATTGTGTCCCCCCATTAGTAGAGCGGGTCACAAGTCAATATGTAGTAAGTTGTAAGCTCAATTGCGTGGGATTGCACAACATACTACGAGTAGCTTATCAATATCCGAGGGTGTTAAAAGGGAATTTCTGACCAGATAAAATGGCTGATAAATATTCACCTTAATGTAGTCACTACCTTTCTTTTAAATACTGCATTTTTTCGTAACTGCTAAAGGACTAGTAGAATCATTTAATGTTTAGAAAGGAGATTATGTTTGTGACTGATTAGGAGTTAGGAATATAAATCTACATGGAAGTGAAAGAACAAACAGATTTTCTTAAACGAAATGAGAAGCAGCCCTAAACAAATATATTTATAATAGTACTCACCGTTGACAGCAGAACTGTTAGTAGTAATAATGGAAAAAAATCCTTCATTTTTAAATAACTGCGGCTGTAGAAGGAAAAGGAAGTTTAGATAACCCTGGTTCGACCCGATAATATATCAGTAAATGAAATATATCTCACATACTATATAATCATGACATGGACTACACATTCAAACAACGTTTGTTCCTTAGATATACTAGTTGTTTAAATAACAAATATAATTCATATTATTTTCATTCATATTCCCATATTTCAATCATATTACTGTTAATCAATGATAGATACGATCAGTTGTAATTTTGTAAGTTAACGATGCTTTCTATCTTTCCAAACAAATCACATTTTTTATTATTCTAACAATCAATACCTGCTCCCAAGAGAAGATAACTCTGCAATATGCAAAGACGGAATATCGTCATGCAGCACACGGAAGAGTTATTCCTCTTCAAACAAGGTGAGTATACAGGTAAGAAATATCGGGGGAAAGTCTACAAGTAACTACACATGTATCTACTCGCTAAAAAAGATACAACATATATTTATGTGAGAACCTGTTTTAGATCTGTTGTTATTCACACTATCTTTCATTACACAAGTACGTCTCAGATATATTAACAGTAAGGATAAGACAATAGGGAAAGAAGTATGTCTCTAGCAAGGGAAAACATTTTGTTTATTAAATCCCTATATAAACGGAGGTGCAGTGGTATCCGTCCACCGGTCTATAAATATTTTTGTCAAAAGATCTCATTCTTTCTTTATTGACCGAACAAATGGAAACATATGTAGGTTTGTTATCAGAATAAAAAGTTTAATTTTTCTAAAAAGGATCCCCGTGCCACTACCAGAAACAATAACCAAGTTTTGGAAACTTTTTTTCCCTGACATGGCTAAGTTTTGATAATTCTTTCTGAAAAGACGCCATACATTATGGACCTTTTGTTTTCCAATTACAGATGAACATAACACATTCACATGGGTTGCTCCGTAAGAACTACGATGCATTTAACAGCTGTTCAAATAATGATTTCATGATAGTTGGATACGTCATTGATTGCAGTTTGGTTTGTAAACTGAGGTACAAAGGTAAGTATAGATACAAAATATATCTTTTTTTGTGAAATTGATTAAAAGATCAATATTTATTCAATATGTGAATGCAGATGATAAAGTACTTGAAGAAAGAGAAACTACAAAAGTATAACTACCTGACTGACATTTGCAGCATTTTCAAGCAACGAACGTCCAGTGTATCACGTGACTCGTGTACACACCTATACTACAGACGTATCCCGACATTTTGCCGTCGAGTGTTGACAAATACAGTAATGCCAAGACTCCCAAAAGAGAACAGAGACATGGCGGATCGCATATTCCTGGCAAACGTTAGATGAATTAACGTCGCTCGAACGCTAGGTATGACGCGTCGCCTTTGTCACTGCAGATAGCGTTTTATGACGTCAACGTTGACATCAATGCGCCATCTTCAAAATTGCCTCAGCACAACTGCTTGCAATCGAAAATCTTACTAAAGCGAGGTTCTGTGCAGAAGTTCTGATGCAGTTGAATGTGCCTTCATCTGCAGGTCCAGGCCCAAATCATACATTTATGTCATGAAAGATGAAAAAAAAACAAAAAAAAAACTGTTTAACTTTACATCATGTTTGAAAAAATAGAACTGAAAGTTCAACGATTAAATTATTTAAATTATGATAATGAATATGGATTTAAACAAAAAATCATATTCATCACTAAGGTTTAAAAGTTGAATTGATCACCATGCTTTAATATTAAAGTTGCCCCTCCTTTGATTTCAATTTTCTTTTGGTGAGGTGTAGATCTAAACCTTATTACAACAAAAACACCAACCAAAATCAAATTAGCACTTGGTTCGTTTTTCGTAGAAACATAAAACTGGAATTCTTAAAAAATCAGATTTTTTCCCCAAAAGATGAATGTTGTCAAACTGCATGTAATAATGCATTAAAGGATCATTGTATGCTACAATCTGCACCTAAAAGTTTCTTGCTATGGTGAGTTATCAGATATTTACAGACAAATTAACAGCCGGACGCCATTTCAAGCAATGGTTTTTCAGACAAAAAATGTGTTCATCTTAGAATAAAAGTATCTTATAACTTTTGTATACCAAAATTATTTTGATTATAAAAGGACTAGGTCTTAACTTACCAATGACAAAAATATCAACCTATAATATCTGGTGGAACATATTCAAAGAAGAGATACAATGACCATGTGGTCTATACATCAGAATTCATGGCGATGTGTATAGTCTAATCATTATGACTGAAAACTGGCACAAACAAATAATATATTTGTTTCGCTCTAAATTGATTATTAAAAGACGCTTTATCAATCACGCCAAGTGATGAAGTAAACTTTAATTTGGATTGTTTGTGACCTTACATGTGCTGAAAGGTTTATTGTAGTCTTGCAAAAATTATTGTCCAATGACCTGTAAACAGGTGCATTGCTTTTTGGTGGACGCCAGGGAGGTGTCATAGGCCCTCACCTTTTTGGGTACACAGGGTATTTTGTTGTGAAATGAAATGAATACTTTCCATCACTTTTTTTGGACTGAATTTTTGCATACATGTTCATATTTGAAATAATACCACTTCTTCACACTATGAGATGTTTTGGTATACAAGTATAATACGAATGAAAAAACCCTATAATTCACATTAAAATTTTCACAAAATGATCGATTCAACTCACAATCTGGATGATAAATATATTATCAAAGCACTACATTTACAAGTATTACGATGCAAAAATACATTTTTTCCAGAAAAAAAACTTTCAGTCTGATATTCCATTTATAGACCCCCATGCTGTAGTTAGGTTAATTAATCATTTATATAATTAGAAGAGTTATACAAAGTAATAACTCCAGATGAATAAAGCATTGAAAAAAGTTAAAACAGCAGCATAAATCTCGTAGCACTTCTGAATCAAAAGTTGAGGGGGGCATGTCATTTTTTCAGTAGGGTTCATTACTGCAATGAGAATTTTGATTATAGGGATCATAAACCAAACCGTTACTGAATATAGCACATGTTGAAACTTCAATTCCTATTGAAACATATAAAGATAACATGCCTTCCAGATCACATAAAAAAATACTAGTTTGTTATTATTTTACGTCCTTTTAACAGCTATGGCTATTTAAGGGCTTGCCAGGTTTTGAAGGTAGAGGAAAGCCGGAGAACCCGGAGAAAAACCACCGACCTGGGCGACAGTCCCACGTAGGTCTCGAACCCGCGAACCAGTGGTGGAGGGCTAGTGGTAGCAGAATGTCAGAGCCCTTATCAAAGGCTGAGTTATGTATACATATACGCAGTTCATCTTAAACAATTCAAGATCATATTTATCGGATGGCCTCCGATTTAATACTCTTAACAGAACACGTATTTCATGTATTGTTGTGCATTAAAATATGGTTACTTAAAATATGACTACATTAATATACAGATTAAACTAAATATTTCCAAATATTTCTGTTCAGGAAAGGGCAGATAACTCCAGACGTCAGTTTATAGCGAAGGTTTTCTTTTTATGTGTAATTTGGCAAACTATTATTTCCTTGTGCGTTGGTGCGATTTGTAGCAAGAGTTTTGTTTGTTACGTAAAAAGACAATTTTTTGTCATTCAAGTTCCACGTAGATTTATATTTTTACCGTTTTAATCGGAAATACATGTACATAATATCCATGCTAAACAGTAAATGCTACTAGTCTATTAAAATAATACTCAAATTATTAGTTGTAAGACCATAAAAAGTAACCTGACGTTTAAAAAGAAACCTTGTTTGTTAGGTAAATT